GCAGAGGAAAGCTATTAGCTAGTTGGTTGATCACCATCTGTTTCATGTGACTTTAGCTCATCAAAGCAACACACACTGAAAATGTTCTATGACAAATCATTGGGATACAACATTGTGTTAGCAGATATTAGAACTCTACATTTTCTTCAGCTTCTTTTTCAACTGAAGAGGAACCACTTCCACCAAATCATCTGGGCTGTACCTGTAGGCATCATTTGCTACAAATTATCTATCAACTGTAGCTCCATCGATAACGGAGAACGCTTTTGGATTTTGTATGTATAACGAAGATGACGTGTTTGTGTGCTTTCCAGATTTTGTCGTTTAAAAGTTTCTCTTCAAACTTCAAGCTCCCAAACAGCTGAATCTTCAGATGAGGCAGAGTGATACAGCTTTCTCGGTGCATATTTAATTTCTGGGAAGCTTTCTATTATGAAATCTGTCCTCGTCAGGTAAGGTAATTGTCACTGATAATAACTTATATATAATACAAATGAAGAAAACCAGCAATGCCACATCTAAATGGCTGAAAATGCTTTGAAGTGGCCTAGTCAATGTCTGGACATGAACCTGATGAAGACGCTGTAGCAACAGGTCAACAGGCCATTGAAAAAAACTCAACTTGGGGTCAAATTAAACAAAAAAATCTGCAATGAGTAGAGCCCATTTCTTTCACTCTGATGTTAAAGACTAATTTCTCAGTTACTGCAAACACCTGCTGACAGTTTCTACAAAGAGTTATTATATTTTAAGTACTTTGTGCTTACTCAGCTAGTTTAGTTTGGTCAGAACCAAACCTTTTAACAAAAGGAAAAAAAGTTATTTTTTTATTATTCAACTAGAAAAACAAAAGGCAGAAGGATTTGTGTGTCGTTTTCAATCTTTTGAAAATAACCTTCAAAAATATGGACATGTGCAAAAATGTGTTTGAGACTGAATTTGTCTTCAGACATTAAATGTCCGCTTTTGTCCCTCTCTACCTTCATCTACTGCAGTTAAGATGTCAACAACTTGCAGTCTTTTTCCAGATGCTAAGGTAAAAAATTCTGAACTATCCCTTTTTAATCATCTTTGGTTGCACAGTGTTCCACACAAAACTGCTGAAGTGGAAAAAAAAAGCTTCCAAAATGGTAAATTACAAATTAGTATGTGAAAAGAAAAATAATCTCCTTGTAAAAACTTGTAATAACCCTCGTTTAACCAGATAACACCAATAGCAAGAAAAAGTCTTTTAAATGAACTCTTCTAATCCAGTAACAACTCTCCCCCTCTTTCCTAGTTTCACTCCTCCCCACATCCTACCAGATAAGGAGCCAATACTCACCCAGGAGACATTCTTTGCCTTCAGCAATTTGGACATGGCCCACAGGTGGAAAGCCAGAGAACCTGAATCCCGACAGACTCAGTCAAATGCAAAAACACCCAGACTGCATTTAGCAGCTGTGGCAACATCCTCCAACCTCCACTGTCTGCCCCCTTTGCCAACAAACCTCTCCAGATTTACATCTGCCTGAAGCCTCGCCTGTCCATCAGACCCAGCGAAACATTCTGCAAGGAGGAGGAGGAGGAGGAGGAAGAGTGGGAGCCAAAGAGAAACAAAGACGAGCTCCAGAAGTAGCTGTCAGAGGCAGAAATAGAACTTGCATAAAGTTCCCTCCATCTTCTGCCTGAATCATCCTCTTCTTCCTTTTTGTTGATGGTTGCCTGATCACCCTTAAATGACTAAAATCCGTGAGAATGTGAAGGTAAACATCTATCTGAAGCATGGCTTAAAATGCTGTGAGAAAAAAAAAAACGGCAGTCAACTTTTCCCTCCTAACATCTGGGGCAAAAGAGATGGGACATGAAGGAAGAAGAACAGTGAGGAAGAACGATGATGGGAAACTGAGTAAGGTGAAATCAACCAGTTGGAAAAGCACAGCAGGTTTGAGGGCAGCTCCAGCTTTAGATTAAAGAAAAACATTGTTTTCTCGCTAACGTCTTTTTTTCTTTTCATACGATGTCAAACAGAGAATAACAGGGGGAAGGATTAACCCATTCAGCCTGCATGCCTGTATCCCTGCCTGTGTTATCTGGTTCTCTGATTGTAATCTGGCCGATGAGCCTCTGATTGGTCAGACAGGGAAAGAGAAGGATTGGTAGAATAAGAGATTAATGGAATTATACACGATCGCCTGTTTTTCCAGACCTAAAGTCAGATTCAAATTGAGCCTTTTCTGGAGCTTTAGTGACAAAGCATGATGTGAGCAACTCTGAAGTGAACTTTGCACAAAATTAAGAAACATTTATGTCTGGGCAATTATTTTTTTAGTTGTACAGATGCTTCTTGGCAATATATCTTGTTTCATTGTCTTTTTCTTCCCTTTAAATTGTGTCACATTTGTAAGAAAAATATATTTGCTGGTTAAGCATCATATTTAAGTATATGAGTTTTCTTCCATAAAAACTTGCCAAATTCTCTCTGCCAATACCAAACAGATTGTAACTCTTGTTTAATAATTTTGATTAGAGTGGATGACTAATATTTACAGAAAGAAAACATATTGGCATTTTAACAGTTTATTCATTTAACAAAAAGAGAACTGAGTGTGAAGAACCATAAAGGTAAGTAGAGATGCTTTTTAGACATAAATATTTCCAATAAGCAATATAAAGGGGAAATTATGCTTGATTGTAAAATGTCAGAATAGATTTGTGGCCTACAAAATATCTCCTTTACATTTTTTTGCACAAAATCATTCTCAATGAATAAGATGTAGCTTGCTCAGTTCTGCTTCTTTTTTTGTATCAGCTGTTTTTGTGTCTCTTGTCATGCCACGCCACCCAAATAAACATTTACTCTCACACTTTATACATGTGAAGTTTAAAAAATTTTGTTGTGCCTTCTTTCATGCACAATGACAATAAAATAAATTTTGATTCTGATTTGGAAATATCTAGAAACATATGCACAACTACAGAAGAAATGGAGCCTCAAGCACAACCCACAAGGATTCAGCAAGAGATTTCTGAAGGGAACGTTGACAACTAAACATTTGTCTTTTTTTGCAGCCTCTGTACAGCACATTAAGCAGTAAAACCAGCTGACCAAACATGCTGGAGCTCCACTTGGGTTGCTGGCTAACAGGCTGGGTTTTTGTAACGGCTGGTTTTCCAGATACCAAAAATCATGAACTTATTGCCAGAAAAAAGGTTGGGAAGTTTTTTAAGCTCTCAAACCGTTTCTTGGAGCAGTAGAGACTCAAATGGAAGTATAGAGCTACATGTGACTCATAAATATTGGCACATAAGTATTTTTGAAGAATTATAAAGTGAAAAAATAGCACAAATTGGTAATAAATTGGAACTGTTCAGCCTTTACTGAGCTCAACCTTTTATTCTGGATTAGAGTAACAGTGCTCTCTATTTGACTACCCAATGCAGAGCACAGTTCAATAAAATACAATTTTCTGTTTGAAACTATTGATGCTTTCCTATTCAACAGTCTTTACCAAACTATGCTCACATACATTCATCAATGAGTTCATCAAATGTGAGCTCCAGGTATCATTTGTTGTTGCGACTCTGCTTTTATTTGATTTTCTAAGCTCCTTTTTTTCTGCCTTGGTGCTGAGGTGGGCACTCATGCTATGCAGCGGTTACAGCGCACAGTAATCTGCAAGGCTTTAAGCTGACAGTCGAGAGAGAGCTGAGGGCCAACAGTAAGCCAGCTTCATGAGTGAGGAAATATGGCGATGATAAGGTTTTCTGCAGTTGACGCCATCACAAAATGCACAGCTCTAATTAACATCATAATATCAGCATTAAGAGGAATTACCAAAAGAAGTGGAGACACATGCAAAACTCATGCAGTAAGAAAAGATGAGTTGGTGGAGAAAGTTAGAGGAAAAGTAGGAAAGGGAAGTCAGAAAGAAAAGAAAAGAAAAAGACATTTCTGTCAAGTCCTTTCATCGATAGATTGAAAGCCCAAACTTGTCCATTTTCTGCCAATATTATTCACACTTGGGTTAGATTATGGTTCTGATTGCAGGCAGCAATTTATCAATATCTACAAACTCTATGGAGCTCAGTTTATGACATGCAAAGAAATGTTTTAAAACGTTAAACTCTGTTTCATCACAAAATCCATCCATCCACCCATCCATTTTCTAACACCCTTGTCCCTGGTGAGGTTGGGAGTGCTGCTGGTGCCTATCTCCAGCTAACGTTCTGGGTGAGAAGTGGGGTCACCCTGGACAGGTCGCCAGTCTGTCGCAGGTCAAGCACAGAATACTAAAACTACAAAAAATCTGGTGCAAGCTTTTTACAGATTAATGACTGCTTTTGGTGTCTTTACAGGTGAACATTAATCAGTCAACTGAAGCTTATCCAAAATAAAGTTGCTTTACTCTTTTGCAAGGTACTTTAATACATTTGAATACGAGTAATAAAAATAATAGGTGGCCTGAAGATCTTTCCCAGTCATTTTAACCACTCAGAGAGCTTTACACTGAAGCCACCTTAACACATTGACACTCAATTATATATACCAATACTCAGATCAGTAGGCAACTGGGGGTTGAGTACCAGGGAAACAAAGACATATGACAGAAAAAAGCAGGAATCAAGCCCACAACCATCCAGTTACAAACTCTTTCCACCAGTAAAAAATCTTCTAATGTCTGTGACAAGAGGATTATTTTGGAAAATAAAACCATCTGAATCATTATAGTGAATCTTTTGACATTCTTTTTTTTTTTTTATCTTAATAGATCAAATCCCGGCTGAGAATAAACAGAGAGAATAAAGTACAAGAGTCCGCAGTCTAAACTCACTGTTTGGGTAATTGAGCATGCAAACGTACTGCAGATGAAAGACAATGCATAGATGCACATCTGAATAAGTGCATTAACTGCTATGCCCCTCCTGTAGTCCCTTTGCTCTACCCCGCCGCAAGACTCCACTGTTGCTATGCGATCAAAAGGGTGCATATAGATCCTGCAGGTGATGCTGCCACTTACATAGGTGGACTGCACTCTCCGCCAGTGTCCCAGCCCACAGCAATGCATCAAGACATCAAGTTTTAGGGAGAGAAGGGGACAGGCCAGATGAGCCTCCGGGGTGGGGGGTTTGGGGTGGGTGTCACCTTAAAACCAGCTCACAAATTTCACTCTCATGGTCCATTAAGTGAAGCTCATCAGGGAGTTTGGGGATCCCGCGAGAGACGAAGACTCCAATTTACAAAGTCCACAAGTTGTCGAAGGGGTGGAGAGAGAGGGGAGGTCACCTGGGGAGTCAAGTGTCTGCTTCCTCTTTTGAGACCTGGTCCAGGTGAGGCTGACGGCATATATGTCTAGATATCCACCACCTATGTAGGATAAGTCAGTCTGAAGAGTAGCAGGATTTCTAAATCTCTTGGTTTGAATATGCTCATCTCATCCTTAAAAGAACAGGTGGTTCATCTGTCGGTCTGCATATTTGCCCTTCCATCCCGCCTCACCTCTATCAGTGTCTCAGCATCTCCTGTTGAAAATCCTTCAGTCTGCACTTCAGTTCAAACACCGAGAACAGTCTGCTGCTGGAACTAAATATCATTTTCTTCTCTGTGAGTCTCTCAGCGCTCCTCAGTCTCTCACATTAATCTGGTCAGAGATCCTGCATCACTCCACATCCATCTTGTCCTCATCCCTCTCTCTTAAGCTCACTATAGGAGTCCAGAATCAGACAGTTTCTGGTTCAGTGCTCTTCAGTCTTCTCTTTCTTCCTCTTTAAAGATTCCAGCCTTGTAGCCCCTCCTCCTTCTCAACCACTGTCTCTCCTTCTCGCTGCGCATGCCGTTTCCTTCACCACAGGGGTACTGTCTCTTCAGGGGCGTTTCAGCTTACCTGAGTCACTCTTTGTGATCCTGTTGCGACTGTCTATGCACGTGCATGTCTGTGTGTGTGCAAAGGCTGCAGCTGAAGTGCTGCCCCTCTCTGTTGCCATGCTAGAGCTGGGTAACATTCGGCTAGCGCAGGAGAAACACAGCCTGAATTCAAATGCACCTACAGTCTGTCAGATTTACAAAGCCTCCTCTCCTGTCCTGCTCAGCAGCCCCCAAACTCTCTTCTATCTCCCCCTCCTTCCTTATCTCACGATCTGCCCTCTCTTTATTTCATTTCTCTATCTTATTTTCCTCATCTCTGTTCACCTTGTCCACTCTTAGTGCCTCTGCTGTTGTTCAATTTTGAGTCATTTTCTTTTAATCTTGTGCATTCTTGTATGGCCTAAAAAAAAACCTTTATCCCCCAAACTTATTACCCATTATGTACAACTTAAACATAATTCAGATTAAATTAAATGAAATCTGAACATATTTACAGTTTATTGTTATACACTACTTTGTGTTGATCTGTGATATAAAGTCCCAATAAAATACACTAGAGTTTCTAGTTGTAACATAACAAACACCACAATATTTTCTGAGCTTTCTTTGAATTGACTGCACTAGTTCTGAGCTACTTTTTATGACTGTACCTGTTACACAGTTGCTTTGTTTCATTATGAACATGACTTATATCTGAACCTAATTAAAAATATACAAGTGCCATTTTTTCTTCTTTGTTAAAATTGTAACAAGTTGTTAAGTTTTTCTTTTTCCATTTTGAAGAGTGGTTGAAGATATGGGCCTCATGTTTATTCTGCAGATAAACAGAAAGAAATAAAATAAGCAATGATAAACACATTTTATAAAGGGTTATTTATGCTTACAAAAATAAATTGTTGTTATATATGTTTAGTATTACTGTGAAAGAAGTTATACTTCACAGTTTGCATGAAAACTTTATTTGAAGTTGACAAAATGGCAAATTTGAACTCATTATTGATAACCAGGGATCTTCAAGTCTCTTATCAAGAGAAATGGTGTCCAGACTGCTGTTTTCTTTGATTATTTTAAGCATTTAGTCTGTCATACTAATGAGAGAGTGTCCTCATCACACCAGCAAGCTGTACTCCAATAGCAACTATTATTTGTAGCACGAGCTGCATTAATGCCTTATTGCAGATTGTGGTATCAATTATTGAGAAGCAGGAAGATCATGACTGTGGGGATATAAGAGGAAGTTAATTTCTGTTTTTATGCTCATAAATAAAAGCCATCCAGATCTGGTTCTTTACTGCGCAAGCTACAGCTGCTTGGCTGATGTTTTATCACTCACATGGCGTAAAGGGTCTTTAACAAGTTTTTCCCAGGGCTTCAGAGGAATGTACTATTTCCTCACCTTATTTGATTTTGTGCTTTTCTTTGTCAGCTGAACCTAATCTATCACAGGAAGAAAGACCATGTGAATCATGGATTCAATGTGTCCAGGTAGGGGTGCAGTATAGTGAGTGCATTGTATCAGTGCAGCCACTATAGAGGTCTGCATTGAGACAAACTCAAGCATGCAAAAGAAAACAAAAGCGAAGCACTTAAAACCTAATTATCTACAAAGCACAGGCAACACAAAAATAATTTTGTAATTGATTTGCTTCATGTTTCACATCGTTTTAATAAAACCTTGACTCCTGTTCTCCCAGAACTCAAGGCTGACTGCTGTTCATTCTCGTTTAGTCTTAAGTTTTGGTTACGAATGCACTCGATTTACTTCATTCCTGATTCTACTGCAATAATTTATTCAGTTAATGTTCAAAAGGTAATCTATTACCTCTGCTTAAGTTATTTTGTTCAGGTTTTGTCCTTTAAAGATCTTGGAATCATGTTTTCATTCAATTAAAACCTAAGCAATTTCAGCACGGACCTTTTTGAAGTTCAGTTGTTTTTTTCTTAACAACAATATTCTTACCTTGAGTTAAGCCTGTTAATATATAATGTATCTTAAAAGCACCCTCACATGTTTAGTTGTATAAATGTAAACATTTACACCTGTATATAACTTTGAAACTTTTGATTATTTTCTGTGTTTAGAGATGTACGGATTTTAAAGATTAAATGTAGCAAGAAAACAAGTTCAGAAATTAAATAAATATGTACAAAAAATATATGTGTGAAGTTATTGAATATCTACCCCATTATTTTCTTTTACTTAACAGTTATGCACCATATTTAGGCCTGTCATATAAAATCTGGATACAATAAAGTTGATTTGATTTAATTTGGCTGTAATATGACCAAATGTAAAAAAGCTCAAGAGGCATCAATACTTTTTCAAGGAAATGTATAGATTTAAAGAAAGACAGACATGTTTTTTTTTACATGTACTTTACATAAAAACACTCATACTCAGTCTATATACCCTTATATATCATCAGGCTAATAATTACACAAATGATGTTTCAGTAGGAGTCCATGATGCTGCTCTTCAAAGCCAACAGTTCAAACATCCACAGATGAGTTGGGGTCTTTATGCTTCTCCTCAGAACATGATGTATCTTTTAAATATCCTCAGCTTGGTCATCCATGTGAAATAGATAAAAGTTAAACTTACCAGAACATTTTTCAGAGGATATAACAAAGGTGTTACAAAACCAAATACAATAATCAGTGCAACTCGAATAATGAAGAAAGGAAGATCCTGCAGCACAGCTCCAGCAAACGGCAGCAGGGAGCTGTAGGGAGCAATGATCATGCGGAAACAAGAAAGGAAAGCCAGGATGTAAACTGGGAACACCCAAGCTGAGTAGAAAATCATTGGCTCCCCCGAAACTCGTACCATCTCCACTGTATCCAGCCAGAACAAGAAACACTCCACAAATACCTCTGCCCTTCCATCTTTCTTCCACAGGAAGCTTAGGGGACCCGAGTAAGGCATCAGTCGTGGGGTGGAAGAGTACAGGTATGAAGCGTTTGGTCTGTTTGTGCTGTGAGGGGACTCAGTGATGTCCTGCCTTTTGTTGGCTGTGCTGCCATTTCTGGCCTCTGCCTGGCCTGGGGTCACACTGTTCTGGCCTTCATCAGCTGGCAGCTGGCCTGAAACACTGGTCACATGTGTCAGGTGGGTCAGGACTGGTCTTGACATGTCATAATCAGAATCCATAATATTAGCTGCAAATGACAAGACTAGGTGTTATACAAGCTTAACAATACATTGGTATGTTTAAAGTTTGGCATATAACAATAACAACAGCAAACTGAAACTGGAAAGCAACAGCAGATACGGAGGACCAAACAAAAATCTTGATTTTCATTCCGAAAGTGAAAGTATGAGATTATATGGCTTTGTAGACTCATATTGCTGTGATGATTTTGGTATAGACGGGTTTTTTTTATTTTATTTATTTATTTTTTCTTCTGTCAAGTTTTTTTTCTATCTTACCATGTATACTGGAATAATGAAAATATGTTGCTGGAGTTTAAACATCAGAAACAAAAGATGATCATGTGAACACTGAGATCATTCACCATCTTTAATAAGAGTTACTATTAAAGCAATTCTGAATAGTATGTGTACGGTGGGATCAAGAATTCAAAGTGTTCCACTGTTTTAGGAGTAAGTATGCTTGTTTTTCAGATGACGGCAATGTCCTTTTTGTTTCATACCTGAGAGTCCACAAACCGTCTGGGAAAATATGGGTTGCTCTTAGTGTGCCTCGAAAGTGGACAGATTAATATTTGCAAAATTATTGAGGAAGTAAGTAATGTCACCTCTACTTCGATTTTCAAGTATTCATCATATCAAACAAGATAAGGGAACAGAATATATGAGATTAACATTGTGGCAGTTATGGGACACCACTACAATGTTTGAGTTTCAATTTTGGGACAGAGGCACCACATTATAGATAAAGAAGTGAGTTGAACTTATGAAAAAGCAATCTTCTCAGTAGAAAACTTACCTTTACCCAAGAGCTTGTGAGGCCGCAACCTCTCTATGACATCCACACAAATCAGGGAGAAAAGAACCAAGGAAACAGGCAGCTCTGTGAAATGGTCGAGTTTTTGTTGGTTGTCCAGCTGGACCTACAGCAAAATGGATATTAATATCTTCCCACATGGAAGTGCTCAGCGATTTTCAAAAGTGAATTTGCAAGAGAAATGTTATTTACAGGAGTTTATTAACAAACAAAATATAAACAAGGTGAAGCAATTTGTAATTACACTCACTTTTATTCCAATTTTCTTATTTAGTTGAAATATAAATCTGTGAAAAATATGCTTTAAGCTATTGATTTTAAATCCAACTGTAGAATCATGAATAAAATAAAGCAGCCATTTCCTGGATGACTAACACTGCATCACATGTGGAAGAAGCATGCTTGGATGTTCTTTACAACACTTTGTCACTCCATTAAAGTTTGCATATTATATTTACTTCCACACAGTTGTCTCATGGACTCGTGATGGTATTTAAGCCAGATTCTGGTGTGTACTTAGATAACACTTTTTTGTAGCCACTCTGTCATAGATTTAGTGTTTGGAATCATTGGCCGGTTCAAGACCAAACTCTAGTCAATCTTTAGCCAATGGACAGAAAGTTTCATGAGTGACTCTGTATCACACATACAATGGAGAGCTAATACAATGTGCAAAGACATTACACTTATATGTCACATTGCTTAAGTTCCAGAAAGTCCAAGATCAAAATGTCAAAGAAAGATGGTTATTATGATCCAGTCGTTTTTTTCATCCATCTCAGGATGTTGAGGGCCATTAAAATTTTAGTTAATGGAAAACCTGTTTTTCTTTACTGTCTGTTACTGAGTATCTAATATGGACTGCATAGTCTTGTGACATTTCACTGCCCTGGTTTGATTTGAAATGGGGACAAAGTCTTGCTCACTCTTTTGTTAGTGGTCAAATACATCTGGATTGAAGAGTGAACATGAAGTCGGTTCTCAGTTCAGAGTGTTTACAATTCAGGGGTAGAAAAAGTGATCCGTTGTGTTTGGTGTATCAATCAGTTGTCAGTTTATTCATTAAATATTGTACTTTAACAAATATATGAGCAGAAAATTAAGCTTTCATCAGTTATTATGCTCAGACTTTTCTACAGTCTTTGGAGAAGTCTACTGTCACTTTGAATTTCACTTTAGTATTAAAAACGAAATTTATAAAATATATAAAATGTGAGATGTGCTGCTTACATTGCATCACATCATATGAGAAATATTCTGAATTTTAGCGATTAAGTTTCATTTAACTCAATAAGTTGTGTAAGTTGCAAAAAAAATCTACAATAACGCTTCAGCACACTGTAAATCTTGTAAATGTAAATACACAAATTAAATCTGTCATTTGTCATATATCTTAATGTGTTTCTAAAGATGGACCAAGAAGAGTAACTTAATGTCCAGCTCATAGGGCTCCTAAACAATAAAATCGGTGCCCAAATGTGCCATATTGACAATAACTGCTCTAAGTATTCAGGATCTTGTTTTTTCATCCACAAAGTGGGTTGTAATGTGGGTTTGCACCTTAAATAGGCTAATAAAACAAAAATATGAGCCCCTTCAAGGACCCAGCTGGCGTATGACAGAACAACACATCAACAGGTGCATCGCAGAGACAGCAGTGATCAGTCTTGAGAGAATTACCTTTGAACTGGCCATTAGAATTGCAAAACATGGCAGCGTTGACAGCAGAAGATATGCCAGTGCTGTCGGTCTCCTGAAAAGTGAATAAGGTTTATGTTGTTGGGTTACTGAAATATGAGAAATGTTTTGCAGTGCAATTTGATCACATGGCACATTTATGTACTGTTTTCTGGTCATTATCAGAGCAGTTATGTGTGCCTTTGTAATGTTGGGGAAAAATAAACTCAAGCAATAAAATCCATCAATGCACATATTAAATAACCTTGTAGTTGCAGTGCAAAAAGAAAATGTAAAAGTTTTAAAGGAGTTCATTTTTACAAAATATGTGCAGATATGCTCTTAGCCACACTTGATGCAACCAATTAAACTGATTTCTGAATTAGTCACAACAGATTTTCATTCCTCTACTGATTAAAGCTCAACAGTTAAAATATTTAGGTTTAAGATTAATTTCAGTCCTCAATAAGACAACTGAAAACAAATCATTGTAACTCACCACTGCGTGATCTCCGAAATGAATCCCTGCTTTTTCAGGATCACGTATTTAAGAGGAACCCACACCAGCAAGGTCGCAGAGGTCACATAGGCAATAGAAGCCGCCACCACGAGCCAGTAAGCAGTCACATTCTGTCCTTTCACATCTCTGATAATCCTGGCAAATCTCTCCATAACTACAAAGATGGGGACGATGAGAGCTGTGAACTGCAGCACCTCGTAGACGATGAGCTTGACCGTCTTCCCTGAGGGCATCATCCCTGAACGCTGGTGGCTACTTGGAAACTGGAGCTTCAGACTTTGACAATCATCTCCCTCTAAATGTCCCTGCGGAGACGTTGAACTCTGCTCACTGCTTACACTGCACTGGAGTTGTATCGTTTTACTGCCTGCCTAATGAGCTGGTCACATTTATTCTTTTACAGCTACAAAAACAGAAACAATCCCAATCTCATAACCTCAAGACAAAATTGCACAGTGGTTGTCTTATGCAAAAGTTCTATAAAAAGTACAGTAAGACTAAGATCAGAAATGCTCTGATTTCTTTATGCAAATAAAGAAATTAAAGCTTGGTCACATTGATCTATTTGAGGAGCAAAAAAGGATTGGAATAAAAAAGCAACATTTTCCAAAAAGCCTGTTTCAAAGGTCAAGGCAGATTCATCTTTTCTTATATTGACAACTAAAACTATGTCTCCATCTAGTGGCAAAGAAAAGACAGCTGCTACAACTTGAAAAGGATTAATCAAAACAAAAACCTAATATAGATATTATTTTAATTTAAGCACATATGTACACATATTGTTACAGATACAAAGTTTTAATGTGTGATGTTACATTTAACATCAAGCTTAAATGTTAAAAACTTTGCATTGGTATATAAATGTTTGGAGCATTGCTGCAACCTCATGATGGAACGAAACCCAGGGCAGCTAGCACGGTCAAACATCAAAAGCTCTGAAAACTTATTTAATCATGAAATCATTACTGGAAAATATAAAATAATAAATAATAATAAAAAGAAAAGCCACACACATTACTCTGTACACTTGGCCTGGTTTTATTGTGAATACCAATTATTAGGTATGGTTAAAAGAATACATAGAAACAGCAGAGTACAAGTTTGGACAGAACCTTTATAATACCGTTGAGATTAAACTTAAAAACAGGCAGCATCTCAATCCTGCACAAAAAAAAAAAGTTACATTGGGGCTGCAGTCTAACGCTGCGGTGCAATTGTTCGGATGACAACAAACTGGCTCCTTCTCTCCTGGTCCCAGACCAGCTGCTATGGTTGAACACAGTCGATTTCACTCATTTAGTTTGTCTCAACTACAATATTTAAATAAAATTCTCCAAAATGAAGTCTGCGAACCAAGTCTAAATTAACAGTTGCTTTGCATTCTCAAGGTGGCACCTGGATGGCAAGACATTTACAAATTTGAAACAAAATATCCAAGGAGAAAATGAAATCAGAAATGTTTACGAAAACTTGTCCCCACTCTAAACTTTACGTCAGCATTTGTACTTCAAATTTCCTTCACAAAGCATAGTTAAATATAAAACACAAACAACTTTAGTTTTTCCATTTTATTAGCTTATTGAAAATGTGTTTTTCCAACCAACAAATCCTTCTTAAAGACTTGCTACATGTAGAAGTCATAAATTATTTAGGACTAAGAACACACTCAATGCATCATCTAATGTTGGGTGAGAGTTAGCAACTAAACATCTTCAACTAATGCCTCTTCATCAGAAACTTCCCTCATGTCTGAGAAAAATCACAGAAACCACAGGTGGGCTCAAGTTCGGTCAGTTCTAATGTCGCCATTAAACCTACAGTACAGTAAGAGGAACGTCCAGGTTCTTGTCTGAAATATACAACTAAGTTAGGCAAAATATCGCACATTCCACTCTATTCTTTGAATACATACATCCTTCAATACTTCATTAAAAATATCATAATAATTAAACATAAATTAGAAAGCACTACAAAAAAAAAAAAAATGGCAAACGAGAAAAAAAAAAATAATAATAATTCAGTGGGGCTCAAGAGTTTTTCCCCGTTGTAGCCAAGTTGGTGGTGCACGCATGTTAGCACAGCCCTGATGGACACAGAGCACTGCAACCCTTGGACTGCTGCTTGGAGTGAAAAGGAAAATGGGCATGTAGGGATGGCTAATACACCTTTAATTCACCAGGTACATGCAAAGATGGCAGACTTTAGTTTTATGGCTGGGAGAGCTGTGCCAACATACAGCCAACCCTCCTGGGGTCTATTTTAATACAGTATATACAAATGTCATGTGCATGCTTCTGCTGTCCTTGTTTTTTTTCCCTCCAGAAGTCAAAGTGGCTTCAGTTTTCAGTACTTGTTAAACTTGAGGACAATTGTAAAAGATAAGTAGGAGAGCTACAGGTACATTTTCAACATAGTGTTTTGATGTAAATAAAAAAGTAGAAAAAAATGATATTTTTGAGGCAAGAACGGGGTTGAAATTGGCTGTAGTGGATGAGATCACCATGGCACACTGCACGTGTCTCTATGTTAAGTGTTTTAAAGTCTACATATGTAGGCCCGTTACTAGTGTTGTCAAAGAACTGCTGTGAATTTCATGTGTTATGTGGATTATCTAAATTATTATACAGCAGGTGCAGTTACACTTGATTACTCTAATTGGTAAAACTTGTTTTGTTTCCAAAAGGCTCCCATTTTTAAGAAATATGGGACAAATTCTAATAATCACAGGTGAATCTCAAAATTATGTTTTAGATGTTTGTTTCTGCTCCTTTGGATGATTATGGCTTAAAAAATAAACTCAAACATGAGTTTCTAAGAAAAATTATGTTATATTTTGTCCATGTTATGGGAAATATAACCATGGGGAAGACCACTGCATTGACAGTTGTCCAGCACTCATCGTCAATCTTCACAAGGAGAGTACAAAACAATAATTTAAAAAAAGTTGGCTGTTCTACTCAAATTCTCATTGAAGGGTTTTAGTGGAAAGTTCAGTGAAAGGAAAAAGTGGAGCAGAAAAAGGGACACAAGCAACAGAGAGAACACAGTGTTGAAAGGACTTGTGAAGCAAAGTTTCTTCAGCATTTTGGGTGTATCCAAAATGCTTTTCTTTAAGTTATATTCCAATTTTGTGACATGTTGAATTTTTAAGCCACAATCATCAAAATTTACTGAAATAAAAGTCTAAAACTTATCACTCTGTGAATAATAAATTTATTCAGATTCACCTATATTGATTTTATTGTTAAGCTATAATAACTTCTAAGTGTAAGATGTGTCTACATGTCCAGATAGTTGCAATTATATTTAGAAATTCAATAGAGCCAAAAATAAAGAATTGAAATGACATTTGTTTACAAAATTAATCTATAAGACCCTTTTTAATGGCTCTATAGTTTTTGAAAAACAAACATAAATCTTTAAATCGAGCCTTGCTTAATTATTTATTGTCAGGTATTGTGCATAAAAAGTAGATTTCATTCTGGCCGGATTTAGATTAGGTGCTTAGAATTACACCATGAACAAAACATAAACCAGTCCATCTAACAGCAGCTGAGGAGGTAAAAATGTGCAAAAATGATACAAAAAAAAAAAAACAATGCATACCTTCAAGCTTACATATTTGACAGCTCAAATCAAAACCTTTTGAATACCTCATGACCAGCAGAAAGAAGTAACTGTATTATCACATGTATATTTGCCAAATAAAACACAAGGTGCACCAAACGCCAGTGTTTGCCTGATCCGATTCAAATGATCAAACCTGCTGCTCCTCCTTAACACGAACAACAATGAACTACTTCTTACCGTGGGGTGACAATGTGTTTATCCCATCTGTAAGGAGGAGAAGGAGCGGGGCCTATAGCAAGGCTTTCTCTGAGTAAGGGGCCTGTGGGACGTCTGAGGGAGGTGCTAAGCTTGTGCCAGAGGGGGCACTGTAGTTCGCAGGAGCAGTGCATGGTGCGGGGGCCACAGCACTGGCTGTGTTTTGGTAGGACTGAATGTCTGCTGGAGCCATAGCTCCAGGCGCTGCAGCGTAGACTGGTGGCTGGCCCATGTACATGTGGACATCACTGTGTTGAGAGTAAGAAGAAGAAAAAAATAAATAAATGATATTGAGGTGGAATGTTTGAGGCATTCTAGTTTCAAATTCAGTTTACTATAAAAGGAGGTCACAAAGTAACCAGCTACAGAACTGATTTTGAGTGATGAAGTTATTTAGTTGATGTCAACATTATTACATTTTATTGAGAGCTTTTGGGGCTTTAAATGACCAGTGAAGACAGAGAAATGTGTTTAAATAACATTTCTGATTTATTGCACGGGAGTTGCAATAGAAATTTCGTTGAATCCTGTTCAATGACAATAAATGCTATTCTATTCTATTTCAACCACTGGCTTCAACAGATGGCGTTCTGGTTGCTGAAAGTTGATTATGATTGGTGACATGATTTGAACATTTTTAGGACTGCCACATTTTCTTGCCTGTATTTATGTTGTTGTGGAGTCCTTTGAAATATCACAAAAAATAAGACTTGATAAATTAAGTTATTCTGATTAGGCTAATTGTAAATACTACATTATGCAGATGTTATTTTAATTCTGCAGGAAAACGGCTAAATAAAGAGAAGTATGCAAAAACAATAAGAAGAAGGTGAATATTAAAATTATAATGACTTTTGAAGAATCCCAAATTTTTTGTTAAGTGCGTTTAAGTCCTTAAAAACAAAACTTGCAGGGAAATATTGAAAACAATAAGAGACAAGCTTCCAAATACAAATGGCAAAAGTCAGTATGAAAGTGAGCATAAAAATCAGCAAGTAGAACATATTTCTAAATTTAAAATAGAAAGTTGGATTCTGCCCATACTTGTATGTAACAATCTTAACATTTATTACAAAATTAAACACAGAACAGCAACAATTTAACAACACATTTAGGAAAAAAAAGATTAACAAAATTTCTAATCTTCCATTTGGCTCCAAGAGTAAAAAAAAAAAATCAAACCTCTGTTTGAAAAGTGAGAACACTATAAGACACTATTTTTAAATAAAAATGGCAAATCAAAAACTACAATCAAAATGATGGGGAAAGAACTAACCTTAAAGCCTCACACAGCACAGGAAGAACACGTAGGCTAGAAAAACGCATATTCTTTTGTGTATCAAGAAAGGGATTTGTTTCAGAAACTCACCTGGGAGCTGCCTGACCCTGAATGGGAGCACCAGCAGGAAGCTGCTCCACAGGAACCGTATAGCCTGGCACCACGGTGCCGCTCATGGCATATGAGCCTGACGCAGGCTGACCAGGGTAGACCTGCAAAGACAGAAATGTCCACACAGTCCGTACAGAAACCTTATGACGTTTAGTATGTTTTGTAACAATAGTTAGTGCCCTTAGTTTGGTTTATAATAAATAAAGAATCCATCATATTAGTTTAATTCAAAAACTCAATAGCCACATCTTGACCCGTTGCAATCTAAACTTTACCTGCTGTGCCGCGCTAGCAGGCTGCTGCATGTAGTACTGCTGGCTCTGCAGCTTAGCATACATGGCATACACTGGATCTTCATTCATCAGCTTTGCATACAGAGACAAAGCTTCCATGACCTTTACGTTTAGCTCTGACAGCTCCGAGTGCTTCCTGACGAAACAAACCGAAAGGGGAAAGCGTTAGCAACCTGTCATTCATTATTAAACTCTCACTGGAACTAAATATTTATTTAGCAGGGTAAAGCTGCATAGTTTGGAGACAGATTGGAAAGGACAAGAAAAAAAAAAAATTAATTAAAAAAAGCATTGAACTCTATAAACAAGGTCATTTATTTATATGAGGATGCAAAACAAAACAAACAAAAAAATCCATGACTATTTACATAATATGGCATAGAAAAGGCACCATCATACCTGTCTATGTCCTCCAACTTCTGGTCAATCAGCGGTCCCATTTGATTACATGCACCTGAGGAAAAACAAATTTAAAGCTCATGCATTTCCTCTCTGGTGAACAAAAAGTTTTAACTTCATCCTATACCACTGATTTAATTTGTGATAAGTTTTGTTTACCTTCTAGCTGGAGTAACTCTACACTGTCTGACTGGTTGTCTGTCGGATCTGCACTTTGAATCATCTGGAGCAGTTGATCCATTTTGTCCTAAAAAGATCATAAGCTCATGTGAAAAGTTAAATCTACACAATGATTATGAAAACTCTGAAATTTAGTAAAACCACGAATGTTCGTGTTGGCAAGTAACGACTTTGAAATGTCATAATAAAGCCTTTTACTGATGTAAATCACAGGAGGGAACTCACCTCGTCTATATATACAGGCTCCTGTTCAGGCTCTATTGTCTCCACCTGGATGTCCTCGCTGAACTGAACAGTCTTCTTCTCTGTCTTCACTGCAAATACACAAACAGCAGCATGAGCAAGAGTTTAAAGCACCAAACAATTCTTCCGTAGGAAATACTAAAAATCTGCTGTGAGTTTTTGATGCAACCACCCATAGATTTGATGTGAATATATGGCTGTTTTCATTTTTGTAGTTTGTTTTACCAGTTGCAAACAAAGAATAGACTCAAACTTTTGGTTTAACTTGCAATAAAAATATATTAATAGTAGGACAACACAGACAGTAATAGACAAAAAAGTAAAGCACAACTGCCAAAACAGGGGCAGTTGATCACTGCTATACTAGTCTGTACCAGAGAGTGGAATAGACTGCTAAAGACTGATAAAATTGGTAATTACTGCATTATAACAGCATGCCACGGATCACTCAAATCAAGGCGCTGATGTTTTAAAACTTGCTGTTAAGTTTCAATAGCAAGAATTTTAAGCAGCTAACTGAAACATGGTTGCATAAGAAAACAGAGATTTCTTCTGAAGTCTACATCACAGAATGAAAACAATAAATGACTGCTATGGATAACACTTAGAATTGTAATAGTAGCAAATGTTTCATCTCATCAGCAGTAGAGTAGTTGTTTTTTAGTTTAAAATACCAGCATTTAGATCATATCAAATGTTTTATTTCTAATCCTTGCATAAATACAAGACAACTTTTTGTTCATCATACTGATTAATGATACATGTGATTTTTATTTTTAAAAATGAACCAAAATCAAAGACTAACAAGAGTATCTGAAACAAGAAACATTTTTCAATTTTACTCTGCTATGTTATAAGATCAACCTCCTTCCTGTAGGGTTGAGTCATACAATTTATCCTAGTAGGATTAGAGTACAGTTTATGGAAATAATTTTCAGACAACGCACAAACAAAATCTGCTGACATTTTCACAACAAATCAGCAAGCATATAAATAACTCATGGAAAAGATGCGGCAATGTTCTGAAGAAAACAAATGGAGACGGGGAGAAAGCGTCAGTTGTGCAAGTATACAAATGAATTGTACAATGAAGCTGTGTGCTAAGTGGGAACTGTAGCCAAAAGCTCTGCACACTTTGTGACTACATGAACACAGAGAGGGATGCTGTTTAATGCATAACTGGACCAACCATCAGGCCCTGGAGATTTATCTTACTTTAGTTGCTTCACTTGTTTACAAGTGATAAAGTTTCTTTCACTCCAGGATCCATAAAGCTGTGCTACCATGACTGAATATAATGAATAGAAGAATGAGTGTTTTCTGAAGAAATGCTTTGTTGTTCTTAATACTCACTCATCTCAGGTTCTGCAGTGAGATCAGCGGTGACAAAGTTAGAAGGGAACAAGCCGACTCCCTGGTATGTTTCCCCTTTCCACCAGTTGGGGTCACTAAAAATATAACAACTATTTAAGGATCATCGCTACAAGAATCATGGTGAATGACCAGTTTATTTAAACAAAATAATAATAATAAAAAAATATGACAAGTCACATAAAAACACACAATCTCCTTAGTTAAAATTTACATTGGCCTTTGACGAGAAATTAAAATTTTTCAACTGTCTTATACCACAAGACAAATAGAAAAAACGTGTTACTTCAGAAATGTCAACTTTCAGAAGATTTGTTGAATGAAGTTCACCTGTCGTCCAGGATGGTAATGATTTCTCCGGACTTAAAAGTGAGCTCATTGTCCTCCGCAGCCTCGAAGTCGTAGATGGCGCGGACTTTTCTGCCGTCGGACTTGTGTGTAGAGAGAAGGCTGGAAGTGCTCGGGTAAAGGCTCGACAGGGACGTCTGCGGTTGCTGCCGCTGCTCCTTTAGTGACAGCTCAATAGCTGCAGGCAAAGAGAAAATGCACTTTGTGATTTTTAAATTCATTAGAACAAAGCAAACTTTCAAAGGTACACATTTAATAAACATTTTTATACTCATTTCTGCTTATTTAAGATTTCCTGTGGTGGTTTGATCATCAGCAGAAAAAGCTGTAATTCACTGTGGCCATTTTACCTTTGGCCAGATCTTCTTCCTCCTTTTTGTTTGTGGTGGTGGAGGGATCCTTTGCCACCAATGCTGGGCTTGCTTTTGCTTGCTCTGCAGCCTGGGAGAAGATAATCACACAGCAGATGACAATCATTTTTAGCATGCTAAATTGCACATTGGATCCACTGGTACTGAAGGCACTATGGAGACTTAATGTCACATGACTCAATGCACTGCCAGTAGACCTACCTGAGACCCAACAGCTGGGAAGGTGACCCCTTGCTCGCGTAGATTCTTGATCATCGCCGAGATCAGGCTGAGCTGCGGATCATTGCGGAAGTCCTCTGCCCACTCCACCATCAACGCCTTCAGCTTTTCACACACTTTTGGGTGACCCTAGGTGCATTCAAATTAGAAAAAAAAACATTTACAAGAAATGACCACAAGTACACTAAGTTTTTGACTTGACATTATGCAAAACTAAAATTGACCACACACCTTATTTAAGACGTTACTGACTTCACTGGCGAACTCTCTCGAACAAACCTCCAAGTGGAAGATTTTACCACAATTTGAAACACAAGCGCCGAGGAGCTGTGTGGACAACGACAACACGAAGCAACGATCAAAGAACTGCAAATTTGAATTCAGACATAACTAAAATTAATCTTGTATTTTAGTGATTCCGAAAACACACGAGGGTTGGGTAAAAGGATCTTAGGTGGGCTTGAGGTCACAAGACTTTTGCAGCATCTATCCATTTTTCACTGTCTGTTTATCAATATTTGTCATTAGCACATGTACATTTTAATAATGCAAAAAGAAATAAAAAAAAGAAGTCTTTGTAGGAAAAAAGCCCTTTGAGGTCAAGAACAAACAAACATTCCCACAAGGAAAAGCTTTTTGTTCCTTTTTGAGGTTTTAATGAAGCTCTTCCTGGAGCGATCTTCAGATGTTACTTGCTTTTTATACTTTCTGACTTTTGCTTGGTCGAGCTAATGAATAGCTGCTACATTTGAGGACAAAGTATTATATTTGTACTTTTTATCCCAAAGTTTTCCAATGAATTGTACAATCTAACTCTATGCAAAGAGCATTTCTCTGTAACATGCTGCAGAACTAATCCACATGTTTCCTTCTGCAAATTCAAAAACTGTCAATAAATGTGTGTGTACATGCCAGTGGGTGGTATAAATGCCTATACCATGATATGTTTTAGTTCCTTTTTCATTTTGCAAACAATTTGCTTTTTTTAATCGGTTCCAAAATTAATATTTCAGCAAAATGTCTGATGTTTAATTTTGCACCTGTTTTCTAGAGGTTTGGGAATGATCAGCAACTTCCAAAGAACACTTTATTTTGGTTCCCATATACCTTTATATGAAATGTGCATGTTGACCTTCTTCCCTTGGCTTTATTTTACAAAGACGCTGCATGTGGTGAAGAATCTGCATTCATCTGCTGCTTCATCGCACTGCTTTGCAGGCCAATCCTGGAGCTTGTTGACAACAGCAGTTTTTGAACTTTCAAGCATCACATCCAAATTAAATCTACTTGATTTTGTTTCCCATACATAAAAAAATGTGGAGCTGAAATCAGAAGTGCTCATTGTGGGACAATTATTTGTACAAAAATAAGGTTTTTCTTCAGTCTTGATGCAAGTAGCCTTAAATTGAAAGATGATAGGCCTTTTGCTATAAAAGCAAACACTATATCAGCATCCAGTTCCTTCCAGACTTAACTGTGTGCAAAACACTTCTGTTTGTTTACAGATTACTTACAGTCAATGCCTGCATGGCTACGTGGGGATCCTTGTGGTTCACTCTTCTCATTATAGAGCGGAGACATTCTTTTGGCCTAAAAGACAAGAGCAGAACTCAGATATCAGAAGGAATAAACAGAAAATTTACAGAAGTATTTACAACCCTTCAGCTTTTCTACATTTCATCATGTCACAACCACAATCCACACCACACTTTTAAGAATTTCTTTGTAAATCCAAAACCTTGTATTCACAGTTATGTATTGTGTTTTGGTCTCTCACATAACATTTCGACAACATACATTGAAGTTTGTAGTTTTCTGTCATTAAATATGTACAGTACGTCATCATAAAACACTGCATGTCGGCTCAAAAAACAGTAAAAAGGAAAAAAAAAACAACAACAAAATTTTCTACTTCAAACAAGGAAGAATAAGTTACCCAGTGCGGGACTGCCCTATCTTATCACATATGTCCAGAATGAGGCCCCAGTCCTCAGCTGTGTTCATCTCACTGGTTGCTTTCTCTGCAGGAAAGATACACAGCATGCAATATAAGCAAAAATCCAACAGATCACAACATTACTTTTTTTTTTAAATTTCATAGAGGAAGGTTTGAGAGAGAGGCTTTGTTAAAAAAATATATATATATATATATATATCAGCTAAAAAATTTGTTTGCAAGAGGTGTGTCCAGTTTCTGTTTATGCGATCATACATTGGAAAACAAATTTCTGCTTCTAACTTGAACTAAACAAATGGGTGCATTGTCCAAAACTGCAAATAAGCATAATCGTGAAATAGAAGTCTAACAGTATAAAAGAAAACATTTTTGTCAGATACAACATACCAAATTCAGATTCTAACACACAAAAATAAATATCAAATAGATAAATAAAGGACTCTCACTCATTTGTTTTCATAGTGTGTGAAGCCTCTTTGGTATTCCTCTTTTTAAAACGTCAGAAGAAATGTTAAAGTCTGCCACATGTATTTACATGTCGAAGTATTTTATAATAAACTGGATCTTTGCATATATAGCAGAAACTCGAGGCATTAGGAATATTACATTTGCGACAAGCCTGTATATTTTCTCATTTTATCTTAAATTGAGAAATAAAACTATTGCAATTGGTATGTGTTTGATTTTCCTTTTTGTTTCTTTTATAAGAAGAAAATTAATTGATACCATTGGCAAGAACAAAATGATCATAAACAGAAGAAGTGTAGCTTCTTTGACAAAATTAAACATTTTGAAAAGAAAATTAGTGAGAGTATCATGTAGACTATATTCCATTTCATGTTTCTTATGTGGCCCATATATATTTAAACTGTCACATGAACAAGAGAGAGTAAAAAACAATTGAATGCATATATTAACAAGCCTGACATAAGGTAACCAACTATTCCTTAAACAGGGATGTCAAACTCCAATCCTCAAGGGCCACTGTCCTGCAGTTTTTAAATGTGCCACAGGTACGAAACACTGGAATGAAATGGCTTAATTATCTCCTCCTTGTGTAGATCAGTTCTCCAGAGCCTTGCTAATCACCCAATTATTCTATTCAGGTGTGGTGCAGCAGAGGCACATCTAAAAGTTGCAGGACAGTGGCCCCTTGAGAACTGGAGTTTGGCACCTGTGCAAAACATAAACAAAGCTAAGCATAAAATAAGAACAAAAAAAAAGACTATAATTCGAAATTATATTATGACAGGCACTCAATAATAATAATAATAATTAAAAAATCCTAATAGTAGTTTAGCCTGGGTCAGATTACATGTTAGCCCTATCTGTATGGTGCTGTTTGTCCTGCTCACTGTTTATGCCAATGAAGTGGTTAACCAATTCACACAGAACAAAGAGAGCTGGAGAAATACAGCGTGACTTCGTGGTTTCAGATAACCCCACATCCTATTTCACTTCCACTTTTTGGTTGATTTCGGGCTGGTTAACCCACACGGTGGGATACAGATGATGAGGCAGGGAGCTCATTAGCTGCTGTAGTTAGCTGATGACTGCATCTGATCCCCACTTCTGTTTACATTTACGTTATCACAACATAAATAACATCTACATACGCATTTGTACTATTTTTATTTTATTTTTTTAGCAAGACGAATGCAAGGAATTTTCTTTTAGAAACAGCAAATGATCTGAAAGGCTGCGAAACCCCAAACAAAGCTGTTTGATCCCAGCTACTTATGTTAGCCTGATTACTCACCAACATCTTGGTCAAAGGGGTTGGTCGTGAAGAGAGGCATCGCTAGGGTATTGACAACAAGATATTTCACCTTCCTTTAAATAATGTTTTTTTCCCCTCCTCTTACTTCATCCACAATAAACACATAGTAAAAACAGCTACACAGATGTCAAATGGAGCTAGCTGGTTCTTTTCTACACAGTCACTCCTTTCCAGACGGCAACAAGCGAGGCATGCTGGGTAAATGAAGCAGACAGTCTGGTGACGAATAAACCTGTGACAGCCGACAATAAATCCAGCGCTCAAAGTCAAACACTTATCAGTGTCTAAAGTCCCTTTGAACCAGAAAAAATTAATCAGAAGATAGACATTTTCTTTGCTGTGGAAGAAAAAAAAATTAGAATGTCATCGTCAGGTGACGGTGATCACATGACGCTCAGTCGTGTTTATGTTTAAATGGAACTGATGACAAATAACTTCACAGCAGTACGGATTATAGGTGCATTCTAAAACAAAATAAGCATGAGTTTATGTCTATCAGTTTCAATATATATATTCGTAGTTATTTTGCACGGCTGTTTAGAAACAGAAAGATGCCTGAGTACTTAGAAAGGTATAATATAGTCAGTTTATCTGTTTGCATTGCTGTCGTCTTGTGAATAATTATTTTATCAGGATAAAACACAAGCTCCGGTAAATATCCACTTGAGTGCCCAAATTTATTCATTCATCTTTTTTTTTTTTGTATTTACATTAATTAATTCAATTTTAAATAATGTTTATTTTATTTTTCTTTATTATAAACATATGTTTGCAGTAGCCTAATTAAATTCCTCCTTCTGATTGTGTTTACTGTGTATGCACAGCTGAAGTCATTGAGAGGCATGTGACAAAATTTCAGAAATAGAAGACATTTTTGAAGATAAACAGAGAAGAGTGCAATGGCCAGATTTTATTGTCAAAGATCTCTGAAGATAATTTCAAGCCACAATGCTGAAAAAAAATCAATTTGGTCTGTTTGTATTCCAATAAGATGATGATTATTTTATTGTTTCTTCAGATCTACTACTCAGATCTAGTGTGCTCACAAATTAACCAGATGAAAATCTTAAGGAGGGATGAACAAATTTCAAACTAAAACTCTAAAGACACATTAGGCCAAACTTAGCAAAAGCACTTCCACCTATTGTTTCTGTTCTTTTTATTGAGGTGGCAGCAAGAAGGTGGGGTTTCGTCCTGTAACAAACAGGTGAGTACCAGTTCAAACCTTACACGTCTCACTCATCATTCATCGGGCAAGATTCTTCTCCCACCTTGTCCACTGGTGGCATCCACAGTACAAATATGCTTAAGTGTCAGGTTTATTGGTAACACCAAACTGTCCTGTGATGGCCTAGTCACCTGATGCAACAATAGCATAGGTGCCAGCCTCCCAGCAGTCCAATAAGGATGAGTGGTTATAGACAATGGATAACTGGATGAATGGAGAAGTAAGTGTCTGAAAGACCTGACAAATGAGAGTTCTGATACCTCAGATTCAAATGGTCAAGATTGGGTTTGTGAAAAAATAAGACACTTGTCTAGGCAATATTATTTCATTTAAACCTAAAAGAAAAACTCAGTCACTCAACACAGAGCATCTTTATTGTTTTATTGTCTTAAGTGTCTTGGTTGATCATTATTAGCTTGGTGAATTAAAAGAGGGACAATGAAGCATCAAAACAGATTACAAACCACAACTTATTAATTAATACATGGTACACTAAAGGCAGCGAGTGGCATTGCAAACACTTGTTTCCATACTGTATTTGACATATTGAATACATTTTTTTATACTGGTCTAAACTCAATTTACATGTTTTAAGACCTATGAAATCGCTGGCAGGTAAGATTCTAAGTAATGTCAACCCTAAAACAGTTTAACTGTTCAGTGCTCATAATATTTGTGAATGGAACCTAGTAGTTTAAGGACAGTGACATTTACCTGCATTTTACTTATTTTCCCAAACAATATTGGATTGGTTTAGTGAGTAAATGTGAGTGCTTTGCACTGCAAGATTTTATAAGGTACAGCATCTTATAAAAAGCTCAGAACCTATGAATATTACAAAAATAAAAACAGTTTTCACTTATTCACTCTCCAAAATATGAAAAAAAAAAACTTTTTTTATTGAAGATTTCCAAGTATAAAATCTGTAAAAAGTGTTAAGCATAATAATAATGCAAAATATCACAGTACCAAATTTTATAGAATACTATTTACAGATATACATGAATAGAACTGGCTGCACCAAATCCTAATTTGTTACAGCTTACAGACATAACTACAATCTCATAATACTTCTGTACCAAATCTCAGTTGGTACCATAGTGGAATATCTTTGTTCCTTCTTGGGTTCCACAGTTTGTTTTAAAGTGCCTTGAAGAAACAACAGGCACTAAAAGCAATTATTTAGAATTGTCCTCCAGTCTCCATGATGCCTTACTGAGCCGGCTTTATCTTTCAGTCTTTAAGTTGAGCTCTTTCCTTCACACGACTCTCCTTCTTGTTGCACCCTTAACCCCAGCTTCATGCACAGAAGAAGTCATAGATGGATGCTATAAAACTGGAACCGCCACTATGAAGAGAAAAACATGACATGTCAGGCATATAATTAACATTTATTTATTTACTGAAAACAATCCTTTCATAAGTATTTAAGTTAGACTTGATCACATTTGACACTTTATAATCACAAACATTTTTGACTGGCCCAGATCCAAAAGTCTGTGTTTAGAAAAAAACGACCAGCATGTCACCATCGGCAAGTCCCTATGAGTGAATCATTTGGTGTTAGGGTTGAATGTCGGAGCCAAAGTAAAAATAGACCAGCCAATGTTCTTGTGCTAATCCAATCAATGCACAGACTTATTAAAGTTACTAGTTGAAAATTGTTGCTCATGGACTCTCTTCATTTGGTCTATATGAGCTTAGCTATTTTTGCAAAGAATAATAAACTGAAAACTGGAGAAGAGGGGGAACCTGGTAGTTCAATATGCAAAATATTCTCCACTTCACAGGTTAAAACACACCAACATACATGTAAGTTTTGGCTGTTGCATGACAAAACATGCAAAAGTTTAAGGGGTTTGAATACTTGTGCAAGTGTAAGAGGGAAGCAAATTCTTCTGCCCTGATGTTATGAGACAGAAAAGCATATTTTGAATGTCTTAGTTAAAATTCAAAAAGGTACAAACACTTTTGAGACACAGTATTAAGATTTTAAGTAAGTACTGACACTCCGATGAACGTTCACATATGAACCCAATGCGGTCTGTGCAGTAGAAATCATTCCAGTTAGCATTATGGATGAGACCAGCACAGTCCTCTCCATTTGCATGTCCATGAGTCCAGTTATCGGGCTGACCAGGTTTCCAGTTTCTGATAATGACAATGCAAATTTGTTAAATTTATTTATGCCAGTATAAAGAAATTCAAAAGGAAATTTATAAATGTATGACTCACGTAAAAACTGGTATGGTTCCATCCACCCACTTCCAGACATTTTCTTCTTCCTTGTCAGTAAGACCCAACCAGTAATAGCCCTTTGAAATGGTCTTTCTTATGAATTGCTGGCAAAAAAAAAAGGAGAGAAATAAACATTTGATGATTATTTTAAATAATTGGTCTAATTATGTCAAATCTGATTTCATCTCTACCTGTTCTTCATTGTCATTGATTATGAGCATATGGGATGATATGTTTTTACAGAACTTGTTTGCTTCATTAAAGTTGAGTCTCTGGGAACCAGAAGAAAAGTAGTAGCAGCTGTCCCCAAACTTTCTGAACTCAGGAGGACAAGCTGGAAAACATAAATATAAGTATTATCAACTGAACTTAAAATATGTGGATGCAAATTGACTCTGTCTGGCAAAAATCTCATCTTTCCATTGTTAGACATTTTAGTTTTCTTGTAAAAACTAAAATGACTAAGTTTTTCCAACAAAAACTTAGTCATTTTGCAAGAGTTTGTTTTTTTGTGAAAATGAACTGTACTGATCAGCTTTCACATTTGAGTACAATGTCGTTGATACATTTCCCAGTGAAAAGTATAAAAAAAGAGCATGCAATTTTGACCAAACAGTAGCCTGAATTACATTTAGAAGCAATATTTTCTGAAACATTTTTCAGAGATTCAAGTATTCTATTTGGAAGTAGGTAAATTCAAGTTTTTGACTGACGTGTGACTCACCAGGTGTAGGGGTAGAAACAGCAGCTGGGGGCTGTTCCTGTGCAGAGTCTTTTGATTTCTCTGTTGGTACAGCGGCTAAAGTCGGTAGGGGAGGTTTGATGACTTGAGGGGCTCTGGTTGGTTTTATATTGACAGAAGACACAGGGCCAGGCAAGCCTGGAAGGCCTGGAGGACCAGCAGGGCCAATTGGACCAATAGGCCCACGAGGCCCATCTAAGCCTGGAGGTCCTGCTGCTCCTTTAAGTCCCTGTGGCCCTTGTGGCCCTGGCAATCCAGGATTTCCATTGACTCCAGGGTACCCATTTGCTCCAGGGTCACCTTTCTCACCAGGGTTTCCAGGTCTGCCTCCAGAGCCTCTAGACCCTTTAGGTCCTGGAATCCCCTGAGCGCCAGTGGAACCTTTTGGCCCTGTTGTACCTGCTGGTCCAGTAGGACCTCGATCTCCTTTTGGTCCCACCAGGCCTGGCATTCCTTTGTCTCCTTTATCTCCCTTCTGTCCTGTCTGACCCATCGGCCCTTGGGGACCTTTATCACCTCTGGAGCCTTTTGGACCTGGCGGACCTAAATCAATTAAAATAAAAAAACAAAACTTGTTTGTATTGGGGTTCTATTGGATCCTAAGGAGGAAAAGTTCAATTGTATCTGTACAATTTATACTTCCATGTTCAATGACTTTTAGGGAAAAACAGCTGTGATCAGGATTAGATCAACATCTATGAACAGTTACATTTACACCATGGGGCAATATTGCAATCAGTTAAACTTGCTTTCTTTTTTGTCTACAAAAGTCATACCAAAATGTCACAATATCAATGTCGGTTGCTTTTATCTGATGCAGGATTATTCTAGAAACAAAATATTTTCAACCAGCTCATTAAAAATATTGTTTGATCTTACCCTGCAGAATGGTGAAGTTGGTAATGAGCTGTGAGTGTTTGCTGTCTATCAGCTTCATCTCCTCCATCACATTGGACAGGTTGTTCACCTCTTGGTCTAACCTGGTTGCAAGCTCATCCTGCTGTGCGCGCAGATCTTTGCTGTTGGTCTTGGCCTCTTCCATAGTGGCATTCAAGTCTGCTAGCAGGTCCGTATGTCTCATTACGGTCTCAGCACAGGATCTCAGGCCGGTCAAGTCAGAACTGATGA